ACTCTGGCCAGTAGAAAATGGCCGCAAACTACATGAAAACTGCCTTAGAAGCATAAAAAAATCGATTATTTCTATTATCAATGGGAGTTGGGAAATGCAAAGTCGGTGTTGGCCTTTCCGCTAACTTGGAGCATGTGCATGTAAATTTTGGTGCAAATCCGTCGAAAATTGCGCCCGTGCATTCGTTACACACATCCTGCCTTTTATAGATAGAGATCCATTTATTAGTGTGTTTCGTTGTCCGTGGCACCCTACGGACTCTACATACCGACATCCCGAAAGCATTAATTCGGTGTCTTTCCCTTTTGGTCAGTACCCATGACTCTAACCCGTAGCTGGCGATGGCGATGATAGATGTTTTCTCGATCAGTGTAGCCTCTGCTCTCGTGGTCAAATTGGTAAAGGCAGATTTCGGCTATAGAAGCGGTTTTCCTGATGGGTACAGGTTCGAACTCCACGTTACCACCTCTCATGCTTGGAGGGTTGAGTTACTATAGGGGATTAACAGAAAAGTTGAGATAATCCTGAAAATGACTAACTCCATGGACTAAATAAAGGGTTCGGTTCGAAATTCAAACGTATATTACAAAAACGGTTCGTATTGTGTTTTACTTTAGTAAAAATTCTCAATCTAGGCCTGTTGTTACTAATCCCTTGTTTAAGAAAATATAATAACAGTGTTAGCAACTCAAATAAACGTAGCCACGAAAGGTAACGTTTACAGCAATAAAGAAATCATGTCGGAATAAAAAAAACAAAACAATTTAAAATATACCTATCTTCAGTTATAATTTGCATTTATTTATATAGTTTATTATATACGGCCCACCGTGTGGGGAGGTACTGAGCTTAATGGACCGAAACTTTGATGAAGCACGGTGCTCAGCTGAAGTTTGCTGCTGGTCTGGAGCACTTGATGTGTACTTGTGTTCTATACATTTTTTCTTCTTTTCCTACCTTTATGCAGGGATGCATGTAATTCGAAAAACAATTGCAGCTAAAGAACTGATCCTTTCATGTTCCAAAATCAACCAGCAATTAATGTCTGAGATGTGATTTCTCCCTTTTTCATTTGATTTCGTTGGCGCCGAAAAACTTAATGCCACGCTGAGATACTTGTATTCATCACTCGTTTGGAATTACTCTCTTCCTAATTGGAAAGTAGACCTGTTCGTCTTATTTCGTTTCTTTACTGATTTTTCCGCTTGTTTGTATCTTGCTTTATTCGGCTTCATTATTTTACATATTGATTTGGAAGAAGATTGGAAATTTTCATTAAGTACCCAAAAAACTGGATTCATAAGCTTCAACCAACAAGCCTCAATACAAACTGTCTCAGGTAAATCAATAAAATCTCTCGAATCTTTTACACGCCTAGAAATAAATTCTATTGAAAAGGATGTGAAAATTCGAATCGCTAATGCATAGGCCGCCTTGAATGAAATGGATGTAATCTGGAAATCTGATCTACCAGACAAATTCAAACGGAGCTTCTTTCATTCCACTGTACAGTCGGTTTTAATATATAGTGTCACTGCTTGGACGCTAACTAAAACCCCAGAGTCTAACCTTGATGGAACCTACACTCAGATGCTGAAAGCTATAATTAACATCTCTTGGAGACAACATCCAACTAAATCATAGCTCTATGGACCAATCACAATCTTACGCGAATGCAGAATGAGTTTTATAGAGCACAGCTGCCGAGCAAAACAAAAACCTGCGAGGGATCAACTGCTTTGGACACCTAACCATGTTGCAGGACGGGTTGGTTGCCCAGCAACCACCTATATTGACCAACTATGTAAGGACACAGGATGCCACCCTAATGGCCTTCCGATCTTGACGCAGGACCGTGATGGTTGGCGTGATAGAGTCACGAATGTCCGTGTTAGCTCGACCGAATATATATAACCACAGTATGCTTTATGTTAGGAGATTTACACGTTTTCTTTTACTAAAATGTTCACACAATTCTTCTATGTGACTTGACTCTTTGGGAATTTGGCGATCAAGGATCTCCACAACTTCCTGTCCTTGTAGCTCTTAATAGCTTTTCTAGGCTGGTTATCTCTTTGAATTTGGCGATCATGACTATCCACAATTTACTGTTTTTGTAGATCGTAGTAAATGTTGTCTTTTTGCAAACTCTCCTAAACACTACTCTGTGAACCATTTAAACAAGTTCGTTAGATAAGTTATGTAATATTTTACAAATAACCACTTGCCTTTCAATATGTCCTCTGGCTGTCAAATTTTCCAGTCCCTCTTTCCCTCTTATGTAACCTAGAAATTTCAACAGTCTCTTACTAAAGAAAATTTGGCGATCATGGCTCTCCATAATTTCCTGTCCTTTGTAGCTTCTTAATAAATTTTCTGTTTGTTATCTCTTTTAAACCCTCTTCTACGATCAATTTACTAAATCTCTCGTTGTATTCCTCTGACAATCTTGTCTGTGAGCATCCAATTTTCCAAGCCTCCTTTTCCCATTATAGTTATGGGACCTTACCCATTATAAAATACGTAATACATACTGAACCTCAAGAGGAAGCAGGGAGTTCAGTCTGAAGTCGGGCGACCAGCTGACCGGCTGATCGGTTGATCTCTCGACTAGAACAATCTACCTCGGTGAACGAAATAAAGGGTTCAGTTCGAAATTGCAACATATTGCGTAAAACGACCGAAACGTCGTGAACACAACAATAAAGATGTGGACAACAGTCCGGACAATGCAAATAGTGAAAGATGAATCCTTTAATGAAAATCTGAAAATTCAAAATTTTATTAAGAGTTTAAACTCTTGGCCGAATGTTTTCTCAATTACTACAATCTTGACCTCTTGACGTCTACTGTTAACATTTTACACTAGCTTAAAAACCATACTCTGTGCGGACTTTTAAGTTAGAGCTAATTGGGCCTACCCAAAACTAAAGGGACCACAAGATCAGCCTAAAAAAAGGAAGTGTTAATGTTGAAGAAATAACTTTGAATTCCACAATTCACTCTATGGAATTTCAAAACCTTACTTTAATTCTGATTCGGGCTATGAGTGCCAGTTCCGACCGAAAGTCCGACTTGGGCCGAAATTCCAATTCAAGCCGAACATCAAAACCCCATGTCACAAAAACTCTAACTTTAGCTCTTGGCATTTTGAAGAGATAAGATTGATTTTCTCAATTTACAGATTTGGAGATATTAAAATATCTTCAAAACTGTAAATTGAGAAAAGAAACTTTGTTTAAAAGAAACTTTGTTTTAAATTCAGATTAAAAACTGAATTTAAAACAAAGTTTTTTTTTTTTTTTAAATTAACAAAGTGTTTGTGTTACTTTAAACTCAATATAAAATTAAAACTCTTAAAATTACTAATTTTTTTTTTCAATTATTTTAAAATTTGAATTCTTAACTGTTTCCTCCTCATCCGGACACAAGTCCAAATGTTACATATTCAAGTACTATAAGAAGGGAAAATTTTCAATCCCGGATACTCCTGATTCCAATAAGGTATAATATATCTATGTAGAGCAAGTGTGGGGCAAGTTAAAAGAGGTTTCAGATACACGGACGGACAGGAAAAATTTGCAGTTTATTTATTTAGATTTAGATTTCCTGTATAATCCCATAAACTTCACTTTTTGTGTTTTCTGACGTTCATAGAACTCCACACAGTAACATTCTACCTTGAGTTGCTTTTGTGCCCTGTATTCGTTGAAGTTTAATATATAAACCTGTGCCAGTGGAATCTGTTGAAAAATAAAAGTATACAGAAATTTTTGAGTAAAACAAAAACATGCCATGTCATTAAGAATGGTATGTTGAGAACTTTTAGCATACTTCTTTTATATAGCAAGGAATTTTGGTTCTCTGTGTCGCGCCAGAAGGTTTTTTTTTTCGTTTGAGTCCGGCCATCCAATCTACAAATCTACCATTCGTCATTGCATTGAATACTGTTGTTATATATGATCTGGTGCCCTCACTGTTCATCTCAAATTCCTAGACAAAATCCAAGGACGGATATGCAATATGATAAGTCCTGACCTGGCATTTCGACTCCAGTCACTTTCTCACAGACGTTATGTGACTTTCCTCTGTTTTTTCTACAAATATTTTCATGTCAACTACTCTGACAAGCTATTTTCATTGGTGCCCCAAATGCATGCTACTAAGTTGGCATCTCGGTCACATCCTTTTACTGGCGAAAGAGTTAAATGTAACCGCCTCTTTTAATCCAACAGCTTCATCTCTTGCACTTCCCGACAGTGGAACTCCCTTCCTCTTACATGATTCCCTGGTAACTATAATTTTCAAAAATTGAAATGTAATGACAATCGATATCTACTGATGCCTTGATCTTGATCCCCGTCTTTTTCTTTATTCTTTTCTCAAACACACCTCTTTACTCTTACTTTCACTCTCTGTGTACTAGTGGCACTCCCGCCTTGCTTGGGGGGAAATACTTAAAAAACCCTATCCCTATTAGCGGAAAAGGCAAATATCTACACGATCTCAACGGTCAAACCATCGGAAGATGGCAGCGCCGGTCGAGCTGGTGTAAACAAAGCGGATCTTGACAGACAAAGCATCCGACAGCCTGATTCAACCAGGTTTCCGATATCTTGACTGTGTCAATACCCATTGGGTCACGAGGGAGTGGGCTTTTCCGACGCGCAGAGTTGTCCACCAAAATCAAATTCATTTGAACGGCCTCGTCGCTTTCTCCTTAAATATTTGACGCTTATATATTCTATCTGGTCACTTCATAACCATATTTTTTTATGAACGTAAGGCTGTATATTTCTATTGACTCCCAGTTGTCCAACCTTTAAATATATGACGCTTATATACTCTATCTGGTCAGTTCATAACCATATTGCTGGTTGGCTTATCAACAATTGGTTGATGTTAGAATTTACGTAATGCTTTTTAAATACTCAGATATTCATTTCATTGTATAATGTTCCTACTCCCAAGCACTCAGTACATAGATAAATGCTGGACAGGTTATCTATCTATCTATCTATCTATCTATCTATCTATCTATCTATCTATCTATCTATCTATCTATCTCTTGAAATTTGATTACTGATATTTAATGAAAAATAACCCCCACCTTCAACACCCCCACCCTTCAACACACACACACACACACACACACACACACACACACACACACACACACACACACACACACACACATATATATATATATATATATATATAACAATGGGTAGATATACGTAGGTATACGAGCGAGGTATGTTCTTATAATTGTACCAGTTGAAAATAGCTTCGGCACGAAACTCCGAGTTGTATGCGTATATATATATATATATATATATATATATATATATATATATATATAATGAGAGAGAGAGAGAGAGAGAGAGAGGTGAGAGAGAGAGGAGAAAGGAACCTTCGAGAAAAGGGTTTATGTATTTTAGATGCAATTAATCCTAATATAATTCGCTATTATAGATTAGCGAACTTTATTGAAAGTAGATTTTAGTATTAATTTAGCATTAATTAATTAGGATAATTCTATTATTTATAATATAAAATATAATGTGACTTTATATATTTACTGGTATACAGCACTCAGTCGTATTGATTATTGTTTTAATTACTTTAATCCCCAAAGTAGAAACAGTAATGTTCCGTTGTTATGGTAACAGGAAGCCTTACTTGACGACAGTAAGCCGCCATAACCGGTGCTAATTTAACGTAGCAATATCTCGTTAATTAGTGAGGACAGATTCCCAGTACACTACTTTTTGATTCTTTTGTTTTGTGTTAGCTTTCTTTGTATAATTTCCATTTTAATGATTCAAAAACAGAATTCACTTTTACATTTAAAAGTATAGATAAAAATCATAGGTTATTTTCCCAGAAAATACAACAGATGCAATATGAAATCTACATTTTTAACTTGTACGCATGAAATAATTGAAAGATTCGATATTTCTTTATAAATTTCTCGTTTTTTTATTGATTGTAATTGTAATTTTGTGTATTTTTGCAAAAATGAAAATTTTCTTCCTGAATAAATACATTGAATTCAGAAAGACTTGAGCAACATCAATCAAAATTTTTGAATCAGAAGACATAAAAATATTGGCAATCTTGGACATTCGTGCACGCAAAAAAGCCCCAGAAATAATGGAGTGTTAAAAAAAAACAAAAAAAACAAAGAACAAAAAAAAAAAAAAACAAAACAAAAAAAAAAACAAAGAAACAAAAAAACGGTAAGCCATGAATTTTACTAAAACTGAACATAAGTGAATTTATACATTTTTTTGTTGTTGAGAATTTTACAACAAATATATCAATTTATTCATTAGATTGCTTACTTACAAAAATAAATTTATATTTAAAAGATTAAAAACACAATTGTATTAAAACTGATGCAATGCAGTATTTATCATTTACTAATTTATAAAGACATTGATATGTAAAAATTTTTTTTAATAGATTCATAAACGTTTAGTATATTATGAAAATATGTGAACCAACTATAAGCAAATCCTTATTATTTACCATTTTATAAAGTTCGAATTGATTGCCAATTAGCCGATGTTTTGCCAACTATTACAGTAAATAATATAATAAATAAATAGTGTAAATAATGCATAAATATTGTTTATTATTTTTGTTGTAAATTCTCAAGAACAAAGAAAATGTATAAATTCACTTTTGTATGTTTAGGTTTTATTAAAATTGAAATAATCGCTTTTTGGAACAATAAACATTTCCGAGGGAGTGAAAGTAGTTTTTATATATTTTTTAAAAAATCGCTATCACCCCTTGCAGCGCAGTAAAGCCACTAAGACACAAGGGGTTACTGGGTGTGGAAGAATTATGAACGGAAACATTAACAATGTGCGAGAAAAGTAAAAAAGTAATTTCAGGGTCAGTAGATATCGATTGACATTGTATTTAAATATTTGAACATTACAGTTGGCTGGAAAGCATGAAGACGAAAGGGAGTTCCATAAGCGAGAAGTGCGAGAAGAGAAACTCTTAGCATAGAACTTACGGCCACATCCAGCCAGCTCTGCTGTAAATTGATGAAAACTTGTCCCGAAAATAAATTGATTGGATCGATTTTTTTTAAATCTACTTTCTTATTGTCGCCTATTAATAAGATGCACCTTTCTTCGACATTTTATTAACATGCAATGATAAATCAGATTTTAAAGTTTATCGTAAACACACTAACAAAAAACGATGTAATCAGTTTCCACTCCCACCTCAACCTAAGAATAAAATGTAGACTAATCATAGGATTCTACCTCAGAGCCCTTAGGATATATAGCCCGGAATACCTAAATGAAGAAGAGAAATATATTGAGAAAACATTCATATATATATATATATATATATATATATATATCTAGGCATGTTTGACTGAATAAATTACAGACATGTCTGCTAATTTTTAACAAAATCCGTTCATATTCACGAATAACTTTCCGTGTACTGATGTTAAAGAATGAGAGAAATGTGCTATAGCTGTTTAAATTTCTTTTATTTTCATTTCCCAAGTACTTTCGACCTTCTTCCAAGATCATCTTCTGGGGTGTAGGACAAATACACTAACAAGGAGGCTTACACTACACGTGTCTGACCATTCGCCCATTGCGAGTTGTGTTGTCGGTTAGTAATTGTTTTATATTGTGAATGTAGACAGGAATGTTGTTGTAGATTTTTCGCAATGGAACTCCCTTTCGTCATCATTCCAAGCCGCCAAAAAAATTGGTGTGTCGGAAAATCATTTTTTTCTTTGGATATTCTGTATGCACTTTCGACTCCCTCGACAATATTTCTTGCTTTACAGAAGCGTTGTGAGTTCAATACCTAGCTACAGCTGAGGTGAACAAAATTTGACATGTTGAATTAAAGGGAGATAATCCGACATCTGGAAGAGGCATGGTACGCGGAACTAGACCCCGGTGGACCAAATAAAGAGTTCAGTTCGGAATTCCAATCACCCGAAGAAGGCCGGAGCGTACAACAAGCGAAACGACGTGGATATGGCAACGAAAATGAGGACAACAGTGTAAATAGCATAAATGTTGCATACTATTTAGGTTTTAGATTATTTATTGACAAGAATTCTTTTGTAAATTAAAGAATATGTGGACTAACTACAATGAAATATTATAGAAATAAAAATGAAATATTTACCATTTTATGACAATCAATATGGAAAGAGATTTGTTTATTCAAGCATTTATAAAAATGTCTGTGAATAAGAAAACTTAAATAAACCCATAAGAATTAATAACTGTACATGTAATTTTTAAAAAGATGCCCTTTCCTGTTATATCTTTCATTTGCTCTCGCCATATAAATTCACTAAAATAGTTTGAGAGCATCTTTTCTTCTGAACCAGACATTCTTTTAATTTTAGACTTTAGGTGAGTCTACAAACATTCAATATTTTTAGAGTGTATCCATTCATTGGTCTGACGACATTTTTCTTGTTTATAATTACAGTGTCTCTAGTTTGTATCAGGTCTTTCTATTAATTAAGCATCCTTCATCATAAATCATGATTATAAAAAAAATTGGAAAATTAAAATCTAAGATACAAATTAATCTGAGGAGAAAATATATAATGTCTGGAAAAATCATATGTTTATTTAAATTATCTTGTTTTGTAGTCCACAGACATTTTGATTTCATATTTTTTTAAAACATAGTAAAAAAATAACTCTTAATAAGATGGTAAAATAATACATTTTGCATTATATTTAGTTAAAATATTTTATAATCTTACAAATATAAAAATAATCTCAGGTCATCGGATCTGATAAGGTAATTTAATTTATTACCCCTCTTATCTTCAAAAATCCCAAGGCATTTACCTTACATGCAGTTTGTCTTTCATTATGACCTGAAGAAGCCAAACAACACAAGTCATGTCTGCGAAAGGCGTTGTTTAAAACCACTTTGTCATCATCATCATCCAAAATTCATCTTGCGAATAAATAATCTAACAATTAAATATTATGTAATATTTTTATTGCTATTAAAAATCTAAACATAGGTTTTTAAAAGAATAAACTTTGTCCAGGGAATATGAAATAATAACGGTGTCAAGACCAAAAAATGTCTGTTTGACATTTTGTTTTTGCGGGCCTAAAGGTTAAACTTTACTTAATTTTATTTTTATTTTCCTACCTTTTAAGAAATCTCGTTGAATGAGTAATATTTTGCATTGTCCTTCGTAACGAGATCGATTTCCAGTGAATTTGCACATCAAACTAGACCCATATAAACTTTTGTTTTAAATTAATTTTTCTATCTTTTTTATATTCATGTTCTAGAATGCTAAATCTATAGTAATATTAGACAAATATTTTGAAAAAAAAATATGATATTTTCGGTTGGAGTACCAGCAATACATTTCCATATTAAATTTAGCAGCAATACATTTTTGTAAAAAAAAAAAAAAGTAAAAAATGTTAGGTGTAATATATTTTTGTAAAAAACATAAATTTTACCAACAATACATTTTTTGAGAAAAAAAAATTAACAGCAATACATTTTTGTAAATATACAAAAAAAAAAAAAAATACCATGAATATATTTTTTTAAAGAAACAAAAATATTACAAGCAATACTTTTTTATAATGGAAATTACAAATGCTCCCAAGAAAATTAAATTGCGGTATTAAATGACCCATAAAGAGTTGATATGCCGCTAAACAAACAAATAAACAATATTCGTCATCAGTATTGTTTAATCAATAGTAATATGAAAACACTTTTTGAAAAAATAAATGATTATTTCACGTCGTATTGCTTATTGTACGTCTCCACACGCTGTCTCTCTCTCTCTCACACACACACGCATACATTCATTCACTCACACACACACACACACACACACACACACACACACATATATATATATATATATATATGATAGACCAGCGAATAAATGTCAAAACCTTGACTGAATATCGATCCTTGCTTGAACCTTACTTCAAAGCTACCAGTTCCAAAGGTTAGGATAGTAAGAATGTTTTGATCAGGTTGCCTTCTTTGAGATTGGATCTGACGTAAA